AGGAAAAAAAGGGACATGAAGAATTCAGAAGATTAGAATTTGGGAGAATACAAAAAGTGGATGCACCTGCGCCATTGCAAACGATTTTGAGCCATGTCATTCAGGGCCTCTAACCATCGGTTGCTATCATCTCGCGGTCCCCAACCAGGTAGTCTACACCTACTAACATGACCCAGTCCACTTGTCAGTGACTTCATGGATTTGTGCCATGTTGTGGTCTGGCCGCCCCTAGCTTTCTTCCAACCTACTCCTACACCATAAAACATCACTTGTCGAGGCAGTCAGTGATTGGACATACATAACACATGTCCCAGCCATCTCAACTAATGAGGTTTCACTACTTCATCAATTGATTTGCCATCCTTACCTAGTACCGGTTTCCTAACAGCTGCGTTACTTACTCGGTGGTCCCAGGATATACGAGCAATACTTCGAAGACACCTATGATCAAATACTAGTAACCTACGAATATCCTCTACTTTTACCAGCCATGTTTCACTTCCATAAAGTAGGATGGAACGAACTGCTGCGCAGTAAACACGTCCTTTGGTTGGTAGACGGATATCTCGCCTACGCCATAAATGACGCAAGTTGGCAAAAGCTAGTCGAGCCTTCTATATCCGTGCTGAGATTTCGTCACACACCAAACCACAAGGGCTGATGAGACTTCCAAGATAAGTGAAGCGGTCGACACACTCAACTACTTCACTCCCTATCACTAGTTCGGGTGTCGATGTAACCCAATCCTGAAGCCACATTTTGCATTTCGAGGGAGAGAATCGCATCCCGAACATGCTTGCATTGTTGCTTAGAGTGGTCAGAAGAAGCAAGTTACAGATTAATATTTTTAAAGAAATTAAAATTCCATGCAGTCTTTACACAAAATAATCTCCATCCCTGGTTTTGCTATTGATTATTAGCTTTGGAATCACTGATGACATTACTAACTTTTATGAGTTTCCAAAGCAATATAATGTAAATATTCAGGTTACTCATAATGCATTTTCATGTGAATTCGGTTGAGCGCTAAAACCTAACCCAGCTATTATGTTGAATATGTTATATATATATATATCCCGCTTATAACAAGCACACTAATCATTTGGTTGATGTATGTTTGGCTTCCTTATCGTGTATAGTCGCCTACTTGTGTCAAAACCATATATGACCTCAAACATTATAAACTGTTTTCATACATTTTCACAAATATTTAGCTGGTTTAAACAGGTTTACAGCATGATAATTGTGCACCGCTCAATTTTATGCTTTCATAATTTGTAAATCACTCAGAGTGTGATCTTTTGAAGTGAAATTATTTCTCCTATGGGCTGCTGAATTTTAAACGATTACATTGGGGTAACATAATATATTGGTATCTAGAAAACGTAACATTCAAGTTAATGATCACCTAATTCATGAAGGTTTTGGGATATCATCATGTTAACTAATTGTCAGTTTTAATCCCAACCGGTAATTAGATGTTTAAACATCAATCCTAAACCTGTGTATGGGTTGTCGAAATCGAGTTGTTTACCTGTACTCCAGTGAGATAAGGATCAAAGGGTTTTAGTACACGCTACTATTAAAGAATATGTATCATAACCTGATTTTTCTGGGGTTGATTATTTCAAAAATATGATTTGCTTCATGTTATATATTAGTGAGTTTATTTGCTTGAATTTGAAGAAAACTCACATTTATTATTTCGTGAATATTAATTGATATGTGGTTCAAGCAGTACGAGATATCTTAATAGGATAAAATTAAACTCATTACAGTTTTGATGATAAAAACATTAAAACCATATTCTATGAGTAGTTTGATATTTTCAAAATCGTAAACAGTATATAATCGCAACATCTTACAGACATTTAATTACCCAATCGAATGTACAGATTTTATTTAGTAAGGTTACTTTATTGTTTTGCCTATGTACTATGTGTGTATATAAATTAAATAATGTTCAATCGCATTTTTTGTGACATTTCATAAGCTACAATTTTCGCTTGACAGTATTCCATTTTCGGATCTATATGATTTTATAGGAATTGTGAAACAACAAAATCCCTTGATTGGATTGCGATACTACAGCTATCACCAGTTACCTCAAAATTGCAGAAGAAAAATCAATGAATATCAAACAGCATGTAACCTAATTCCAGGGATTACTGGCAATTAAATTCGACGACTTGATATCAGTTAAGAGTACATTATAATGTTAGGTCGGTAGCGTTAGTGATCATATTCCAAATTCTTTTATGAGTATTATGAAATTAAAATGTTAGCGATTATTACCAAGTGATCAATTAAAGTAAAGCTTGAAATTCCGTCACACTCATGATACGATAACCAACAAGAATTGAGCATAGAATGTCTCAATGATGTGGCTATTCTTCTCCATTCACACTTTCAGTTTCAGCATGTCAAAAGAGTAAACTACTGCTCAACTGAAAATCCCGTTCAAAAACCAGCTCTTACAACAATACAAAGTAGCAACTCAAATTTAGAATACCTAGAAACAACATCGTGGGCATGTTGAAGTACTATAAGTGAACCTACAATTTAAAGATGACTTGGAGATTAACTTTCTATTAAAGGAAATTTTAAACTCAATTCGCAGAACATTTTCTACATTAAAGCTGAGAATTTTTTTCGACGGATATTCATTTTAATGGAAACCATTAGATATTACTTTTCATATGCACGTGTCAATTCATCTGTTTAGTTTAATTTCATGGATGAGAGTCTTCCGATGTGAATTATGTGAGACAGTGTTAAATAGTATTTTACTAAAGAAGAGATGATGAAAGGTCTATGAGAAGTGTTATGATTGAACTCCTTAACGTTTTACGATACTGATCCATTGTGAATCCACTGTACAAAGTTTCCCCATACATTTGTTGTCGATTAATCGAGTAAATGACATTGGACTCAACTTTTCTTGTAGAGTTTGAAACTTTCAAGGAAATTATTGAAAAGCCAAATAGGTACTATAGTCGTCTAAGCAAAACAATATCATCCATCAGAATATTAGGAGAAAAGAATTCCTAAAACCGTTTGGTAGTGCCCATATAGAAGTCACTTGTAGTTGTAAGAAACTTCGTTAGATGCCTTACAAACAGTGCTAGTAAAATATGATCAGGCAACTTTGTTCATTTAGATATATGTTGATTTAAGTGGGGGTGCATACAAGCCTTTTCAAAGATGTAAGTCTGGTTCTTTAAAAACCTTACCAAAAATCTCAAACAACTTTTATTTAATGGATTTTGGTTATGTTCTACTGTCAACCATTAGATGTACAGAAAGTCCCTCACAGAATGCATATGACAACGTTATTAAAATACAATGTGGACAATATGAAACCTATAGCCATATAAGCGGAGCATTCATTTCTTTTTGTAGTTTTATAATAAACAAACAAGATACAACTGTTTGCTAAGATATCAGATATTATTAGAAATGTGAAAATCTTGTCGTTATTTGTTTAAAAGGTTGACAACTTTGTGTTCCAGTGTGATGTTTTGCTAAGTGATAACTGTTTCGTAAACTAATGCTCACCTTATTTTGATCCCAGTAAAATAACTTCACATGTGTTTATAATCTAATTCGTTTCATTTTTACGTTCTGGACATATCTAGAAATTGTTAGTGAGTAAATTAGATTAAATACTACTATTCATCACAAATGTTACTTGTCAAAAAGCATGTGAATTCAACTATGTGAGAAGACTGTTCATTTTATGTCATAAAGTACGTTGTGTTACACTTGATTTGTTTGGCTTTAAAGAGAACTCAAATACTGTTTACTGAAACAATCAGACTAATCCAAAATCTCAATTGATCGTGATAAAGTTTTGTCATAATTTACTGCAATCGTTATACATTAGTTTCATCTCCAGGTGACTGACTTGCTAAAATTGGAGATTGAAGTTAAAATGGAAATAACTTGGAAAACAAATTTTTTACCTCGCTAAACATACTTGGACACGTATTACAGATATGCTTTTTATCATTATGCTAATAATGATATCAATGTTACGACAGTCATTTTGAATAACCTAAAGATCGTATATTAGATAAGAAAAGCAGAATTGGAAATATTGTTCGTTTGTATGATACAGACTTAATGGATTGCGAGAAAAGGTAATCACAGAGAGATGGATGAGTAAAATATTAAACTACAATCATCAACACAATCATACGTAATGACTCTCAACGGTGCTTTCATTTTTTCAGGTAAAGTATTGAACTCTGAGAGGTTTTGTGTTTTAATTTTTGCTGTTAAAAAATGAGCCAGAAAACGTGCTATAGTAATTCTTACTCAATCATGATGATTTATTACCCATGTCACCCATAAATATCAGAAACTGAACTGTGAAGGGACTATAAATACCAAGTAAGATTTTCAATTCCATACTCTCTTGTTCACACTTATATTTCTCTATGCAATTATAAGGTCCTTTAACCTATTTTCCCCGAATTTTTCATACCTTAAACAGCTTATATCTGTTTAATTTTAAAATTTACGATGAAGGCAACATTAATTACCCAACACTGTAAGGACATGTTAGTTTTCACACATTTGGTGAAAATACGAACAAAACTCTAATTATCCTAAACGTTTTCTTCCGAAATCAGAGTTCTTGATAGTATATATCGTCGTTAAGATATAGTAAATTATGGATTTCAATCATAAGTTCAAATTTACTGAAATTAATCCAAGCGGTGTGGTATTATTCAGTGTGAAGAATTATATACTACTGTTGACCATTCGATTAAATTCAAAATGTATCATAAAATTTTAAAATCAAACACACAGACATTAAATAAAACCCTGGTTCATTATTTTTCTGTTACTAGATAAATTACCAAACTTTTGAAGGCACAAATTGATAAATTAGCATCCACCTACATTGAATATCCTATTTTTGTGTTGTGGGGAAGCCAAAAATAAATCTTTATTTTTATTTGAGGCATATCTGTATTTTAAACCAACAACTTAAAGTATGAATCTGATCTACTCATTGCTAGTGCTTTATAGTGATTAAAATTTAGGATTTACTAAACTTAATGTTCAGTACCAAGAGTATTGGTCATGATACGAAATAGAGACGCCTTAAGACCTTTATATTGAAAGGAATGAAGCAATTACAAAGATCAGTGATTCGGTTTCTTTTCAGGTTTATAAAATAAGTACAAAACATGTGTAAGATATATTTGAGCATTTAAACAGGACGTTTTGAAATGCGGTCTGTTTTTATTTTGTGCTGACATCCTTCTTGATTTCTTTTTCCAATAATTCCTCGATAAAAGAATATAGTGAATTAAATGATGGCCTTTTATCTGGTGAAATATTCCAACATTCAAGCAGTTTGTTGTAAATATTAATAGGACACATAAATGTTTCCACACTTTTTCGTTTGGGAACCTCGTACTCATCATCGACAGGTAGAAGAGTTTCTGTAGAGGATATTTTCAATATGGGACGAGGTAATCTGTAACCTGAACACACGCGTACTTTGACTTCATTGACAGTGAATTCTGAAATTGTGGTGAAAATGGAATAAAGATTAAATACTATGAAATACCGAATAACCATCTGAACCAATAAGGAATAAAATAAATAACTGTTAACAACTAAGAGTAAAATTCATTGTGTAAATCCTAGCAATTGTGTGATGCTTTTTATTTTAGCGTTTAAATAAGAATGATCGCCTACAAATTTTAGGGGGTTATCAAAGCCATACTGCTATCCAGTTATTCACTCTTGAGAGTCAATAAATTTTCTATTTTAATAATCTTTTAAGTAAGGTTTTGTGCCAAATCATCTCACCAAGTTTATAAGACAATGTTACCAAGGTCTTGATTCACACCATCCTCATCATTAATATGGTAAGTTTTCTTGAGAATAATTACCGAAATTCCGCTGTATTTGTGGCCAAATTCTTTTCTCAAACAGTTCCATATGAAAAGATTTATTCACCAACCAAGTTCAGACAATCGGTTCTCTTTTAAACCATAAGCACGATTATAATCTAGTGAGCTAATAGTTCAGACTATATGCAACACCTAATTACATATCGCATCATTCTATTCAGGCCTTCTAAAGAGGACAAGTTGCATTTATTGAAGCATTTTGTAAAGACACTAGTGCCTATGATATTAGGAATAGTGTGTGCGTGTGTGCCAATAAAATCCGTGTTATTTATGCGGTGGTCTTGATTACTAATCTAAACAGGTGCAAGAATGATAATGAATCACTTGCTTTAGATGGTGGTTGAAGGTAGTCAACAGGAAACCCTGGACCCGGGTTTCGTGCTACTTGGCACTCGTCAGCAAGGTGTACCTGTAATCTTGAGGGAACTGGTGCTCCCTGGCGGATCCGATCTCGTGTCACCCAGCTTCACAGTCAGAGACGTTACCACTGAGCTATCCGAGCCGTGACTAACCTCCTGTAGGACTGAGATGTAATTACGATTGATTGATCACTGGGTGGTGATCAATGTCTTGCTTGTCAGGGTTTCCTGTTGACTACCTCCAACCACCATCTAAATCTCAATACATAATGCCCGCAGTGTCGAGTCACCTAGACTGGTGGCCACATTGCAACATGATCGATAGCATTCGATCTGCACTAATAAGGACTAGACAAGCAAGACATTGATCACCACCCAGTGATCAATCAATTGGAATCACTTGCTTATTACTAGCTTTTTCTTTGTTTAAATTAGTTAATAACGTTATAGGATTTTAGAATGTGAATTATATATGTGCAAATGTATAAGTTATCAGATAAGAAAGGTTTTCGTATTAGTTATCGGTAAACCTTGGTTAACCTTTTAATACAGAAAACGACGACAAATCATCACGATACCAAAAATCACATTGATTTTCATCGTATTTGCACGCTTTAATGTAAAGTTGCTTTCCTCTGTCCCTAGTGAATGAATAACCACATCATCTAAGAAATAAATATGCATGACAGTCTAATTAAGTGATCAAAGTGTACTAGGTTATACGAAATTTTTTTCTGTTAGCTTTATCCTTAGTTTATGGTTTATGCAACAATAGATCATATAATAGAGACGTAAATTCAAAATTATCAGCAACTGACTCAAAGGAATGCGGTAGCTGGCACAAAGAAAATATGCTGTAACACATATAGAAGTAGTGAGTTTGCCTCCTTAGATTTTATAAAGTTTAAATAAAACCAAAGTAAATACTAAGAAAAGTGGCTTCCACAGAAATCGTTACAATTTAATCAGTAAGTTTAATTTATCAGTAGTAGCCCGGAGTCGGACAAGGCTGCTCACTATCACCCTTTTTCTTTTTTCTAGTGGTTGACAGAATTATGAAAATCTCGACATCTGAAAGAAGCCTCTTCATCAGTAGGTCTTAACATACACAAGGGAAAAAGAAAGATCCTCAAATACAACACGGAGAACACCAATCCAATCACACCTCAGGAAGAAAGTCTAAAACAGGTAGAAATTTTCACACACCGTACCTGGACAGCATCATCGATGAACAAGCAGATGTGAAGGAGAGGATTGGTAAATCAAGAGTCACATCTATTCATCTACAGTTAAGGAACATATGGAACTCAGAACAATTGTCTGTCATCCAATATCAAAGTCAGAATCTTCATTACGAATGTCAAGATAGTTCCACTGTTCCGAGCTGAAACTTCGAGAACCACCACAACCATCATCAAAAACGAACAAGTATTTGTAAACAATTGTCTACTCGAGATACTGAATATTCGTTGATTGAATACCATCAGCAACAGTCTACTGTGAGAGAGAGAGAGAGAGAGAGTAAATTAGGAAATGACGTTTGACATGGATAGGATTTGGATTACGGAAATCATCACACTGCATCACGAGACCAGTGCTAACTTGAAACCGTGAAGGGAAACTGAAAAGTGAAAGGCCGAAGAACACTCTGCATCTGAATCGGAAGCAGACGTGCAAAGCATGAATAGAAACTGTAAAGAAGTGGAAAGGATATTTGAGGATAAAATTGTATGAAGAATGTTGATAAGCGATCTTTGTTTCTCCACAAGAGGTAACAGGCGTAAGTAGGTAAGTAAGTAGTAGCTCTCCAATTATATTGGCCGGTTTATTCTTGTTAGGCTGCAGGGATTCATCAAATATTCTTCCGGGAGTAGGAGAAAAAACCATAATTATTTTGTAAAATTACCCTAGTGTATATGGTGGATATTCGATAGAAATTTCAGTAATGAAATATTTAAATGAAGGTAAATAATTTATCATAAGAATACTCAGTAATCAGTAGTAAAATTACTTTCAATACAGGAGTGGAGACGATGTTTGTCAGTGGATAACTCAAGTAATTTTGATTAGTCTAAAAAAGTATATTGTCTGTTTCACTCATTTAGTTAAAATCCCTGTTCATATCCTTTTGCTAGTATTTAGCAGCACTTGAATTCTACAAGTGATATACGAGTGAACATCATAATCATGCTACTTCTAATATCATTTCGACCATAACTCTTAACACCATTAAGATATACAGAAAGTCGGAATACTGAGGTTTAAAAATGGACGTTATATCTTAGTTTGTATTCTAGAATCTTAACACCTGTTTACAAACCTGAACGGTAAAAGGTTAGTGCATCACACTACTGTTCAGCTTATTTATTCAGCTAAGATAGATTCGACTGATCCATTGTTTATTTAAAAAAAACAATTTCTTTCTGCCAAGGTAATTAACAAGTTCTTACGGTTTATTTTTTAATAATTGAACTAAGTATATTGTAAATTTCTCTATATGAAATATTAATTAAAATTACTTGTTATCTTGATAACCTCTTATGAATAACCTCCGTCATTGAGTGATATCGAGAAAGCTATATAGGTACTTTAAGTTTTCATTTGTTTGAGAAAAGTTTTAGTGTCATTTGGTTAATATGCAACAAAATGAAGTACCACATGCAAAATACACCTTATTACCTTCACTTAAGGTTCTAAAGCGAATGAAACTTCACCATTCCTAAAGCAAACGTCCTGGATAAACTAAGCATCTGCTTATGATTGCCATATTGTAAAGTTGGATTTACCTACAATACACCGAATGTAGATGTTCATCACGAACACAACGGATTAAGAAAAAAAAGTAGCAGATATGTGTTTTTTGAATATAATATTTAATAAGCCGATTAGTGTTATTACTATCAAAGATTTTTAGCAGTGTATAGTTTATTGAATGATGCTATAATGAAGAAGATGAATGGTGAGTCTCACTTGACTGAAAACTCGTCTAAATACCAAGTATGTCATCACACTTAAATTGTTTGTCTTACTTTGACGCAAACTGCAGTAAACATTATCAGGTTTGCTAGATTGTACATATAATGCGTTGAATTTGGGATTACTGTATCGAAATCGATCACTGAATCCCATGAAACTAATGAATTGGAAATTTTGGTTGTATATGGCGTAATTTATTAACTTAACCCTTCTCAGTCTAATGTGTTTCCTTTATCGCCCAATTTCCTAGTTAACTTGGGAATTCAGGGGTGCCATTCAATATGGTGTTCGAAACTTCTGTTGTTTGGATTTCTAGTCAATCTTAAGGATCCCGTTTACACATAAACCGTTTCATATATTATTATAATTATTCAAATTCCGTGTGGAGTAGCAAAGCTAGTATTTTGAGTGTGAATATAGTTTACGCCATATTATTGTTAGAAATACAAAGGACTTTTGTTTTAGGTTACATAAGAGTAAGAAAGCTAATAAACACTAACCAACCTTTGTAGGGTAATTCACAGAAGGTTAGTATTTCATGAACCAGTATTCCAAATGACCACACATCTGATTTTGTTGAATAAGCTTGCTTTAAAATCCCTTCTGGGGCCGTCCATCGTACGGGATATTTGGTTTCTTATGGTTTGTGATTTTTGTTGTGCATTTCGATAAGGATGACAGACAAACGGAAAAAGTAATTTCATTATTAAAACAATAGTTACTGAAAAAAACAATGATTGAATTACAAAGTAATTACTTAACAACAATAATATTGTAAGCAGAGATAGGTGTCGGCTAGCAGTGGAATTCGAGACTTGAGTTTCATTCTTTTCGGGATTTTTCAACTGGATGTACCTGTATTCCAGAGTTGGATTCGACTACTAGCCACCATCTCTGTTTATAATTCTTGCGGCCTAATACTGAGATTAAGGCAATCGGTACAAGATGCACATATCGCGGATGAGACTGATCAGTTGCAATGCTAAAAATCAATAGAGAAGTTCGAAAAACTAATGTTGTTTCGAGTAAACAAAGAATCAAAACATCAGCCAGTCTGAAAAACTACTTTGTTGGAGTCTACTAAAATAATGGTTTTAATATGGAGCAATTTCTGTCAGACGTACGTATTCATGCTTTTTTTTCTAAGTATGTTATAGTCTGAAGCTCCGGTAAGCTTAATGATTGGTGATTCTAGTGGATTATTTTTTCAGCTGCTGGTGTAATCACCCATATATACGTTTCGAGAGGAGTTTTGATTTTAAAGGTTTTTAAATAAGATTTAAGGGCGGAAAGTCCAAAACGAGTAGATTTTAGTTTTTGTAATGCTTCCCTACCAGTTGATCTTTAGTCATGTTTTAGGAGGGAATCGTGAATGACAAATATATCAAGAAAGTCTTAAACTACTTGAGTGACAACATTTGAAAAGTCATAGAAAAATCTATCTAAGAGCTGCATATGATAAAATAAGCAATAGAACTTAGTTTCGTGTCTCATCTCGAAAAAATCTATGACTAGAGGGGGGAGGTACACACCTGAAAACAAAAAAGCTATCTTTCTTCCTTTGATATGATAACAAACTGGACAAGTGCCAAGTCAAATTGAAATATTGCCTTCTGATGGATTTTTTAGGAAAGAATCTATTATACTAGTCTGGTGGCAAAATTTTATTTAAAGTAATAAATTGTTAAAGTAAAATGGTTGAAGTCTATTAGTTTATGGATGAATATACATGGTATCACTCAGGAATGCTATGAAAACTGTGTATTCTAAATCATTTTAGAATGATTATTCATAAGCAATAAAAACACACGTTTGATCTGTAGTTTAGTAATTTATTACTTTATCACTGAAAAAAAATACCATATATGTTTGAGCTTTTTCTTAATAAGATCGAAATCACTGATGCTTACCATAACTGATATTCATGACACTATATTTGATTAATTTATTTAAACTTCGTTTAGTTGTTTAGTTTGAATTAACACAAGTATTAACATCAGGGTCATAGTGTTAACATCAAAGGTATCATGTGATACGTATGATCAAACACAATTTTTAGAACACTTATTTAGAATATGGACTGCGTTCAAAATACTATAACATATAAACAATTAAGTGAAATCAGGTGTTAGAGTCTAACTTACCAAGCGTTCCAATGTATTCGTCTGTATCACTAAGCAAATGAGCCAAACCGAAATCTGCCACCTTAAGTCTATTTTTACTGTCAACTAAAATATTGCTGGCTCTTAGATCCCGATGAACATAATGCTGTTCCTCCAAATGCACCATCCCTCCGACAACCTTGTATTAAGAAAAAAACAGAGGTGTTCAAAACCTACTTATTGTACTTTGTATATGAGACTATAGAGAATGTTGAATCGGTAGGTTCACATCATAGCTGTTCAGTGTTTTGTGGTTCTCATTGGTTGTCTAACTAAAATAAGTCCGTGATACTAAACCTAATTATGGTAATTTAAATTTATTAGCAAAGATAGTCACTTGCAAATAAGATAAGTGTTCACAAAATTCTCTGTAGACCTAAATAAACTTTTATTTCAATAAAATTTTTGAAGAAGACAATGCCAATTTGTCAGTTCACATTACATGAAACAAATCATACCTACTAGTTAACAATTTTTTGGCATTTTAGTATAAACAACTTGGCAGCATTTCCAAGTGTCTTATAGTTTTACTCAAACCAAACTTTCAGACGTAAACCTATCTCGTGGACATGACGTGAAACGAAAGTCAACTGGATTATTTGAAATATCAGTACCACACTTCAGAGATGGGCAGCGTCAGTCGTTCATGAATATTACATATGCATATAATCAGAAATGTATACAACATTAACTGCTAAATTATTACTTATCTTTGTTTATATTTCGATACCTCCACTTTATAAATCTTTGTTCATAAGAGTAGATTTTCATTCAGCTTGTGGCTGAGCTATTTCAGATAATATCTATATCAACCAACAGTATTATAGTGATTTAAGGTGACGAAAAGGTCAAAGAAACAGAAACATGGCTAGCGAAATATTCATTACATAAAAAGTTTGCTAATTTTAAATTGAATTCGCTTTCATAATTTTTATTCTTGGATCGTTAACTTCAACTGATTATTGTGGAATAGAAGTAATTTCACATATTACTCTACGGAACGTATTTAAGAGATTGTATGACATATTGCCTGAAATAGTGTTTTTTGTTGGTGAAAAGAATTGAGACTGAACATTTATTCCACTTAGAAGACTCACATCTTTCATCATTTCAAGTAGATTCTTCATTCTGATTTCTACAGGATTAAGCTTCTGCATATACTGTTTCAAAGATCCATTTTCCATTAGTTCACTTATAATGTAAGTTGGTTCATTAGTAGGAAGTGTGCATACAGCCAAAATTCTGACTACATTCGGATGGTTCAGTCGGTGCATAAGTTCAGCTTCATTCAGGAATCTTGCATGATTCATGTTACCATTCCCAAGTAATTTTTTTATCGCTACGGGCATTTGATTATTCCACGTTCCATACCATACCTCACCAAAGCTTCCTTGTCCAAGTTTTTTAATGAATCCAAAGTTATTTCGATTTACTTCTATCAAAGATAATTTTGTTGGTGGCTCGTAATTTTTCGGATATGGTGTAGTTAAGCAGCAGGCGATTCCATCGGCATTTACTTTATAAGACAAAACGTTGATTATTACAGCCAAGAAGTAATTAGGATAGCTGATATATAATTTTGACGAGTAGAAACAAAAAATTTACTTACGTTAAACACACGATAACTTCAATAATTTTCCATGATGAATAATAAATGTGAATAATTCTACATTTTCTATAAAACTTGGAGTAGAATCCATTATGTTTATAGGTTATTACATTTGAACAAACCAAACCGATAAATTGGAGACTATTTACATAGAGGTCCACAAACAAAACATTATCGGACACATTATTTCTAATAGAGGTTACATTTGAGAAGAAAGAGTAGATGGGATGTAACAAGTTGAGTATCATCCCCATTTCCTTTTTCTTAACGAACCGAATCAGACGATATTTTATCATGCTTTTTATCGTTACTTCTGTTTTTTTGAGACCAACGACCATAATTTCATTAAGATATATCTGAAGTGATCTGAATACATTGATTAAACATAGTGATTTTCTAATAGTTCATAACAGTAGATCCTTTTTTCGAATGTATGTATTTAAAAAACAGAGAATAATATCATGTACGTTTGCTCGTTTTTTAAGGCACAATAACAAACAATAAACACTATGAAATGCATGACTGAAATTTGATAGCTAACTGGAATTAATTCACAAAAGCGATTTTACTAGTACAGCATGAATCCCCTATTTTTTTTAAAAAAAACTGGCGGTTTTCGAGATGGTGGAGAAGATTTGCAGCTCAGGTGGATGATTTTGGTGGAGTTTTGTTCTCTGAGCTGGATGGTTTGGTCATGGAGCTTTCATCGTTCTTTTGAACGACATCATCAGCACAAACTTCAGATAGAAGTGAAGTGTTCGAACACGACCAAACCATCCAGCTCAGAGAACAAAACTCCACCGAAAACTAGTAGTTTTCGTTAAGTATAGTGAAAACATGATTTGATGATAAGCAAAATATTATGAATTATTGAACATGAATTTACATGGGTTGTGAACCACTTCTTGTCAATCCTAAAGATATTTTCAATTGAAATAGACTTCGATGGATTATAGCTGTTTATGTCATTGGAGGAATTCGACATAGATTATGTTTTCGATCGTCGTTTCTGGAAATTTGTAGGACACTGACACGGCTGTATTCTAGAACTCCTTTATTCACCTAAAAGCTTGATGCTATTTATTTGGAAGTTGATATTTTATTGAACAGATTGTTTTATTTATACCTCACTTTGATAAGAAAATATTTCCTGAACCTTAAGTTCATCTAAGTAGCTGGTGGAGTGCAAATATAGCAAAAGAAGCAACTTAAATTTTTCATTTTATTTGGGTTCTTATAACAATGTTAATGAGCTTTATCAGAAAATTTGATTGTCTAACCTTTATTCCGATTGTTATATAATTAATTAACTATGACTACTTTATTTCAGATGTTTTGTGAATAGGAACATAATTGTCCGTGATTTACCTGTATAATGTGCCACCAGTTGATCAATAGTCGGGAATGAAATGCGCCGAAATATATGATATTTTTCGTCTTTCAATCTAAATCTTATTCGGTAATGCTTCACTGACCAAATCAGTGTCGATTGGTCCAAATACCGTACTGATAGAGCGAATGTCTCATCTGAATCTAAAAGTCATATAGAAAACGCCAATAAATTTCATTTGGTTTAACTGCAGATGCCAGTTTGGAGTCATTCATAAACGTACTAACTATAACATCAAAAGTAAAACAATGTTCACCAGTGAGAAGTATCAGTTATTGATATCTAGTCTGCTATTGTTGGGAACATTTCCAGTTTTCGATTTATTTCATCTTTCTACTTCAAGTCATGACAAATATTAGTTAAATTTAACTTTTGAACTAACAAGATGCAGATTCATGAAACTCTTATTCTGTTTGTATTTTTATTTAAATAGAATAAAGTACGTTCGCTATTCGTATGTTCGATATTTCGTCTGAACTAGCATTTCCCTGGTTTAAGGTTGTATCAGAAAAACTAAGATAATTTACACGTTACTTAATATAGTAAGAAGTAATATAAACATAAGCAAGTGGAGAAAATAACCCCTTTTACAATCTGTTGAAATACTACTAATACTGAGGATTATACAAAATTATCTAAATTAATAATAGAATTGTGCAAAGCAGTATTATGTGTAAGTGAACTAATTAACTGTGTTTACTACAGAGATGCTAATTATTTCAATACTAGTTTTTTTCTAGTTAACTCTATTTAATTGTTGTAAAAATTGTGGTGGTTCGTCTGTACAGCTTTAAATCAGAAACCAGGACCTACCACTATTTCCAAGATTTTAATTAATAAAATTTAAGATACTAGCAAATGAATCCGTTTTAATTATAACAACGAATGCAGTTAAGAAAACGTGTTTACACTTGCTATCATAAATAAAATTAAATGCACATGTTACATTCTAGAGTACCGAATGATTAAGTGTACAATTAGTGAACCTAAATGAATAACTCTGGGGAACGGTACATAAGATTCCCTGTTACACATAATCACTTTTCGCAATCATCTTAATTACATGCTGCTAAAAGCATTTCAGATAATGCCTCCCCAACTGGTTTTTACGTCTGCACGCTGAGTAACAGATAAGTTGTCCCAATGCCCTAATTTGATAAAAATCATCTTGAAGTCTTCAATCTTCAAGGTTGTCATCATGAACAGATGGCTAAGCTGATACTTTGGTATACAAATAATCTGTTACCTATAATATACATATATTGTCAGGTAGTTATGCTACATTGACTTAGATTGATATATATATTTGAAAATCATAAATATTTATCGACGTTAATTAATGATGAAAACTGAAAGAATTTTTGCGTTGCCGACTCGATAAAAATTAATTACCTGAGGATGGACGTATAATATATGTTCCCGACGGGTTACCCATTAGAAGCAGTAATCTTTCTGCTTCATTTCTGTCAATATTAAACCAGGAAATATGAGTGGTTAAGGAATCACCAATAATTTGCAAATGTTCTCCTGGCACTAATCCTTTCCGTGAACAGTGGTTAGACATATGCTTTAGCTCAATTCTTTCAACTAGCCAAAAATCTTCATCTTTTGTTGATGAGCTTGATCTACCTTCAATTATATTACGTGGAACCGACACGTGATTAAGTATCAGTAACCTTTCTCCTTCTGAAACATTTAATTCATGAGGGTATTTTTGAGAGTAAGTCATTTTGGCTACGGCTACAAGTGGTTGGACTCGCCTTTGTTCACCTGAAGGCTTTCGATAATTTGAAATGCTGTAAGTTGAATCGCCACTCAAGTTCTGTTTACTTTTGTCATATAACCATTCTTCATAAAATGGTAGTACAGGTTCCACTTGATTTTTGTTCAGAGAACATTTAGACATAATAGGAGGGTTAGAATTTATTTCAGTAATTTGTGCACTTTCAGTAATTCTCTCTTTTCTTGGATAAACCAAGTTCACTAGTGGAATTGTCTTTTCACAAACGTTTTCACTCGTTATACTCTTTAATTCTAATCTAGGTGATGATTTTTTTGAGTCGTTTTTTTTGACGTCACAAGATAAGTATAAACTTTTTAAATGACTGTCTAATGAACAGCTTTCCATCCCACTGTCCTCGTTTGTAATACCTCTTGCTTTATCAGAATTTCGTTTTACTTCCACATTTGTAATATTTTCGGCAGTATATGGTAATAGTTTTTGAGTTTCGCTTGGGGTATCTAGTTCTCTGCTCATGGATGGAGTCGTAAATAGTCCCAACACTGGTCGCGCAGGCTGCGAATTCCACTTCATGTCCTGTTTAACTAAAACTGAAGATACGTTTATTTTACCAGTGTTTTGTGAAAATAGCCCATTACTTCCAAGTGAATCTGGGTGAAAATCATCATTACTTGAGTTGTTGTTGTGTGTCTGGCGTGAGAATATTCGTGTGAGTAGGGGAAGTTTTATATCAGAATCCATTTCGTTTAGACCGAAATCATTGGAACTACTTCCATAATCCATTGTCTCACATGTGTTGCATTGTAAGATTCCAGAACTATCTCTTAGTTTATCCGATTGGGGTGCGTGAACCATGTCGTTCAGATCGATACCAGATGGAATACAGTTACCCATTTCCGTAAATACACATCACTTGATCAAGGGACTTCTAGTTGGTATGTACTGAAAATATTTTAGTAATTAGCATCAAAATTTCTTATCTATTCATGATCAAGCTCAACAGATAAGTAATTGTTGTGCTATGCAATAAAAGTTTAAATATTTGGCCTTGTATCTATATCAACCAACCAGGAAGATTGAATTTTACAACTGATTTTTGTGATACATAAAGCACATCAACAAAATGCATGTCAGTATTTTTATCACCACAGTTGAGTCTATTGATGTAATATGAATATATACCTTAATTGAGCGATATTTTATTACAATCAAATAAATAACCATGAATTAAAAAAAGTGTAGCTAGATAGTGTACACTTGAGGATTATATCAACAAGGTTCTAATAAATATTTGTGATATTACGAAGCTATGAAGATTAAATTTGATTGATATTGTTTACTTGAATCTTCTCATTGATGTTTAGGACTGAAATTGATCAGCCTCTTATTGGTATATGTGCGTATTGCCTCGATATTGCCTTAAGTCACAAGTATTATAAGGAAAGATGGATATTGGTTAGCACTAGAAACCAAAACGCGCATCTCGTCAGATGGATGTACCTGCGTCTCAAAGTTGGTGTTCACTTTTGGACTCGAACCCGGTACTGTTCGCTTCAAACGCCATAGCGTTATCTACTTAGCTACTGATTCCTTTTAGCCACTTGCTTTTGCAATGGGGTGAAGTTTAAATTCACTTGGTATTATTTACTTGAATGTTTAGGACTGCAATTGATCAGTGAACATCAACTTTAAGATGCAGGTACATCCAGCTGACGAGTTCCAGATGGGACGAAATGTGCTTTGTCCTGGATTCCATTGCTAACCACTATCCATCTTTGCTTATGAATCTACAAAGAGTTCTAAATAGTCCCTTGTATTAAATATCCCAAATAGTTCATGGAAACGTGAACGAAAACAATATATTTCCGACAAAATATTTTGAATTTCCATGTAAGAGTTAGGCCACAGTAGTATTTGGCTTTGTTTGAACAACATTTTTAACATAAAGTATCATCTGACGAACTGTGGCGAGACTGTAGTTTATGAACGAACCAATCAGACTTACGATAGCAGGTCCTGGATTTCGGCGCGAAATTCATTAACTCATTTGGCTAAATACCAATTCAGCATTATAAATTATGTCAATTTGTTATGAAAACATAAAACCTAATTTCCAACCACAACGTTCAACTGTAAATCCTAATTCCTTGCACCAGTTTATAACCATCATTTAACGATACTAAGTAGGTGGGTATTTTTAAGGTCATTTTAACGTTGCTCAAATGTCGTCCATAAATTATAGTCTCTTCCAGGTATCTGCTCATTTATAGGAGGGCAAATCAGCTGTCATTGACTGAAGGCAGTAAATTTTATTAATCGGTTAATTTTCATATAATTACTTTAAAATAAGCTACTTAGTGAACGAATACGCATTTATGAGTAGTGTATAAATGACCTTCTATGTCAGTCAGTAAATATGGGGCATTTACACCAGGCGTTTTGAGCTATTATTTTAAGAGATAGTAATTGATAACTTTAAAGACCCGTAAAGCTTATAACATTTAAGTATAACTTGGAACAGGTGTTTAATTTGACAATGATAATGCGCGGGAATTAGACACGACTGACGGGAAACACCTTAATCAAGCACTTACAAAGATCAATGTATCATTTTTATTTTGGGAAGAAATGGCACATTCATATGATTTCCTTCAAACAAGAAGGAAATTCATGAAGTATATTTATATTTGTGTGAGATTAATGCCTTCGTTAGACGTTATCACAGTGTTTTTAAAAGTTCTGCGCCACAGAGTGATATTTAAAACCCGTGACATACAATAAAAAGTTTTCGGTAGTAAATATTAAATTCAATCATAATAAGGCAAAATAGTGCTCGAATCAAGTCAATTGACGATAAATATTCCTTACGTATTACATTTATCAGGTAGATACATCAAAGTATTTTTATGGGGTATTGTGTAAATTATCATTCAAAGCATCATCTGGAAACATGTGATGAGCATTCCTTTTATTTATTTAAGTATAAATTCAAACACTAATATTGGGAAAACAAAACATTTCGAATGAGGATTCAGTGTGGATCTCTACATTTCTATAAGCTGTGTTTGGTCATATCCTAACAGGACAATATGAGCATAATATCCATCACTAATTCTTTCGATTTTCTTTAAGCTTAAACAAGTTATTCTATTTTTAGCACTAAATCCCAAACAGTATCCTTTAGCTTATAGTTGCTATCACGGTTAAAAAGTCACAAAGTCAGCCCAACTTGTTCTATACAATAGAAATTCAAAGAAATGGATTGAGTTTTGAAATGGACATCATACCTACAGCATTAATGAGATAAGCGTATATAGTATGATCAGTTTCCCTTCAAGTTCCTTGGCTCACAAATAAGCTTTGAGCATATTTGCAGGTAATAGGTTTTCCATAGTTGAAATAACGTGTCCATCTAATCTGGACCACCACTAAAAACTTCGAAGTACAATGTCTTGAAATTATTTATAGTATATTTGAATCACTTGTTTACTCTGCTCTGTGTTGACGCCAACACATCTCTTATACTCTCAGTTTGTATTGGTGTCTAAATCTGAGTTCGTCCGTTCATAGCTTTACCTATGAAAATGTTTATGGAATATGACTAAATTTTCTAAGGGTTTGAAATTGAAATCTATAATAATGGCATGATCGAAGAAGCAACTACATTGAAGAACTGTGAAACCGATTCTGAATGCGTTATAATCCATAATTCAATGTAATAAGCCATCTCTTGCTTATTTACTCGTTGATCTGTGCTAAATGAGTTTTTTGGGAGTGAGTTTGACTATTTAACAAGGTAAAAATACAGAAAACTTTGAGGGAACTGCCAAGTGCTAAAGCAGTAGATAATTTTGGATCTTGTTATTGATAATCTGAGATAAGTGATATAGGTATACAATATTATAAGTGGGCCACCAAATATTGATCTGAAAGTATTCAGCGCTCATCAATTTATGTTTTTAGTTATAAAGCAACGTCTTTAAGGTATCATTACCAAGGTTTGACTTGATAATTTCAAACAACTAGAGCATTGTTATTAATAAAAAGTAATATATTTGTAATATCGGAATGAGTAGAAAAATTAGACTATTTGACGTTTCGTGACTCAGTGTAAGCCACTTCTTCAGAGAATAAAGAACTTTAGATAAATATGAAGAGAGGGTTTTTCTGCTAAACAAAGTATTCATACAATGGAATTTCAAGTATGTCGAACTGATGGAATCAGTTTTTACTGAAAATTCCTTAGTTATATCATTATTGTATGAAACGAATTCATTAAACCAACAATTTCAAAAACTAAACCCTGATTTTTGTTCCCTAAAATTACTTATTTTTTCCTCAAATGAAAACTGAAACTCTGTTGTTTGCTATAACGATGTTGAAGGTCAGGTAAAAACAAAAACAAGATGTCATCATCAAACAGTAACTAAAAGCGAACAAAATGATTGGCTAGTCTTATTCATGAAATATTAAGCGATAAAATAGACATAAAAAGTGAAAAATATGTGATGTTTAATATTTATAAGTATTCTTGAAAGTAAAAGTATAAGTAGTAATCGAAAACATTAGGGTTTGAAGATGTTATCCAGGGAGTATAATCCAGTGAAGTAAATTTAGAAAGAGAAAAAAGGGGCATAAAGAATTCAGATTAGAATTCGGAGAAACATAAAGAGTGGATGCACCTGCGCCATCGCAAACGATTTTGAGCTATATAATTCAAGGTCTCTTGTCATCGTTTGCTTTCGTCTCGCGGATTCCAACCAGGTCGTCTACACCTACCAACATGGCTCAGTTCACTTGTCAGTGACTTCATGGATTTATGCCATATTGTGGTCTGGCCGCCCCTAACCTTCCTCCAACCTACTCTTACATCATAAAATATCGCACGTCGGGGCAGTTGGTGGTTGGGCATACGTAACACATGTCCCAGCCATCTCAACTGATGAAGTTTCACTACTTCATCAATTGATTTGCCATCCTTACCTACTACCCGTTCCCTAGCGACTGCATCATTTACTCGGTTGACCCAGGATATACGAGCAATGTTTCGAAGACACCTATGATCGAATACTAGTAACCTGCGAGTATCCTCTACTTTTACCAGCCATGTTTCACTGCCATAAAGTAGAACGAAACGAACTGCTGCACAGTGAACACGTCCTTTGGTTGATAGACAGATATCTCGCCTACGCCATTAATGACGCAAGTTGGCAGAAGCTAATTGAGCCTTCTATATCCGTGCTGAGATTTAGTCACACACCAGATCACAATGGCTGATGAGATTTCCAAGATAAGTGAAGCAGTCGACATGCTCGACTACTTCACTCCCTATTATTAGTTTAGGTGCCGATGCAACCCAATCCTGAAGCCACATTTTGCATTTCGAGGGGGAGGATCGCATGCCGAACATGCTTGCATTGTTGCTTACAGTGGTCAGAAGACTGCATTTTGTCTGCGTCTTCACCAAATAGAACTATATCATCGGCATATTCTAAGTCAACATGTGGATTTCCTGGTAGAAGTTCAACTGGAAATTTAGATGAGGAAAGTGTTATCTGTAAAAACACGTCAAGGACAATGGTATATAAGAATGGAGAGAGTGGGCAGCCCTGACCAACACCACTTGATGTAATCAATTCTGGTGACACAGCATACATCGAAGGCACGAAATTCTAAAGTCCTAGCTAAGGAAGCTTGTTGTCCTATTTGGGACAGTATTTGGATGTTAAGAGCTTGTACATGTAGTTTAGATCGTGGTTTCAGGAGATCGGGAATAACGTTCGGTGTACTCGAATCATTCGCATCTGCGGCGCGAGGTGATAAAGGAACGTGAGAAGGGTTAATCGTGGAGATAAGAGAGTTATTTAGAGGGGTAGGAAAGATATGATTGTGACCAACTTGCTCTCGTGTGCTGATACGGGTATGAGGGATGATGTCAATTTCCAGCTGCCCACACCATGGAAGGGTATTTCATGAGAAACCTGA